CTAGAATTCAAATTTCACATGTTAGATTTTAACCGTAGACAAATCAAATTTGCTAGTATTGAGTCAGAAGATTCGTGCATACAGAATATATTATTTTTTATAACATTATTATAATAACATAGATATTACCATGTTGAAGAGCCTAACCCATCAGTTATCCTAAACATGTTGAATAAATGTCGAGCCTAAGCATTTCATACAGCTAATAGCCTATATTCTAGAGTAGGCCAATGTTTGTAATTAAGTAAAATGTAAGTAAATGGGGTCTTATATAACAGGAAACAGAAACGAATGGATGTAGAGCAGATCGAGAGGCTAACATACATATTTTTGTAAAAACAAGATAAAAAAGAATCATGAAAACATTCATTGGCGCTGGCACTATGCAATATTTTGACAACAAATCAGAGATAATCCGTCATTAGCAACATTACCGCTTTGGCGAAATATATGTCTTGCATTGGTCAAAATGTCGCATAACAAATGTTTCAACTAAGATATTTGAAACGAAAAAATATCGAAAGTTTAAGGTCTATAGGCCCTACCCCATCGAAAACAAATAGGATCAGGCTCAATGTGGTGTTGAAAATAGGGTACCACAAATAACTACACGAAATCAACCCCAAAATAGCGAAATTGTTATTTATTGAAAACAAACTATTAGGCCTACTTGTCGTGAGTAGGCGAGGCCTATGTGCTGTGAGCGCGGTTCGGTTCTAGTCCTCACACACCTTTTTGGCCAGACTATCATCCATTCCTCCTATGATATTAAAATCATAAAATGAGGTGCTGCTCTAACTAAAAAGTTATAGATGTGGGCCTATTTTTCATATATTGAATTCATAAAGGTGAAATAAAGGACCGTGATTGAATATTTACCCAAATACAAGCTACTTAAACACATTAATGCAGCACACAACACAAAATGCACCATAAACGTATTATTAAAGCAAACCAAATGTAGCTCTATAGTCCAGCGAATCCAGGACTATGATTTTTTAAGACTATTACGCATTGTGTCATAAGATGTAAAAAAAATACTATGATGTATTTTGGCTCATTAATCAATGCTCAGTATTTTCTTGGGAAAACTAAGCTACAAAGAAATATACAATTACATTTCGTGTCAATTATTATTAGTCACAATTCATTGTAGCAGTCTTTCGTTCATGATAGTACCAATGTGCTTTGGGTCTGTAAAGACAGCAAGAGGACAGTGTCCACAAATGGGCTTTAGGATATTTTCGTGTGTGTATGTGTGTGTGTGTTTCAGCGTGATTCTGCTGGGCATGAGTATGCGTAATGCGTGCGTAAAATGGGGATTGTATTCTGTTGCATTCTATTGTAGTGTTTCAGTGTGATTGGTACCATTGGAGACAGCATTTTTTAAATGGTAAACTCATTTTCTTAATGTACTTGGACCATATGGGGTCGACACGTCGAACCTTCTCTCCCTGGTCATATGGGGTTGAAGGGAAACTCTCTCTCCTGCTCCAGTTTTATGGCCTACAGACTGTCTGTTTCTTCTCCTCGCTAGGGGTTAGAGGACTGCATTATGCAATGTTCCATTCCAGCATAGTCTATTATCATCATTCTCAAAGAATTGTGCAATTTTACGGCAAGAGAAGGAGATTTCGAAAACAGTAAGCCTAGGAATTGGGCCTGTACGTGATTTGAAAGCACATTTTACGAGAACCAACCTTGAGGTCTGTGGAAGAGATGGGCTTTCATTTAGGCGCTCTGGTAGTTCGCCAGTATTACCACCGGACGATTTATAGTCAGGGTATTGTAGCAGCTCGGTCTCTTGCGGTGTCGCACAGGCCTGCTGTCTCTGTAAGTTATCGTATTTGTGAAATTTAGAGCAGTCGCTATGACTCGTAATTCCACAAGGATTCGGTTGATAACTTGCGCGCTGCTTTGCATGATTATAACATTATTGGACTTGATGCAGACTGCTGCTACAGACCCAGCAGACAAGCTTGTGGAAAGGCTGAATCGTAAGCTGCAAGAAATGCCTTTTCTGTTTGTAGGCCCAATGGCAATAAAAAGGCTCGAAATAACAACACATTTCTGCCTAATTTTAAGGACAATTCCATCGATTCAATGGTGACTGGAGTAGGCTAGTTTTGTTATCCAATAGTCTTATGGTTGGCCTAGTTTTTTAAATTCCAGAAGTCAGTAAACGGTCGACTGCTGAACATTGATCAAGCACACCTAAAGACACATTTGTCGTTTCTTTTGATCCCAAAGCATGAAAGGAACCAGGGGACTGGTGAACGTTTTGCTATAGGCCGACTTGTGCTGGGGTATATATTATTTATATGTTTGTAATTAATGAGACTCATAGATTACTTTGTCCCCAAAATAGCGCAGAAAATAAAATTACAACAGGCAAGGTCAACAGATATGTTATGATACAACGGCACACCGTAGGAGCAAAACATACTATAATTATATGTACAGTAGTTAACATCAGTGGATGAGGCTGAAAACGCCCCAATATAAAAGTGGAGTGAATTCAGAGTTGTCCCATGAAGGAAAACATTTCCAATATTTTCGTATATGTAGGCCTATCCTTTCCTTTCCATTTGTCTTCGCCTACATTTCAAGGACATTTCTGATAGGCCTAGGTGAAACAATAAATAAACTAATACAAATAAACAAATAAATAATCGTAATTAATAATAATCCTCTTCATAATCACAGTAACTTAAATCATTCATTACAACATATTACACCCATTGCTCTAATATAAAAGCATATTTTCATTGTTTTCTGTTATCAATAGATATGCCTATAGGCTAATTACGCTCTTAGTCATTATATTTAATGGTTAAAATAAAAAGACTAAAGGAGAATTGTCGCCGAATCTGAAATTGCTACTACAGCCCTCAATGTGTTATTTGATGTAGGCCTATAGGCCTATATTCTGTCTACCATAAAAGCGATCTAACAAAGCCTCCAATGTTTAGAAAATATGTTTTTATGAATTAATTGAATATTATATTTGAAACAAACATTTAGGGCCTATACCCGGGCCTCGATCACTATTGAGATGTAGTCTTGTGTAGAACAACGTCGCCCTCTAGCGCTCTTGATTATCAACAAAATGCTCCCCCTAGTATAGAATAAATTGTGTCTCTTCATTAACCAATAATACTATCTAGTAGACTACTTTAGCAATGCTTGGAGAATAGGGGGAATTAATATGCGTCGATCATCATCATTTATTTTCATCAAAGTAACCAAAGTGATTACACATTACGCATTAAAATCCAACTATATTCTCAGATATTTAAACACCCCCTGATAAACAATGTTAGCTTTTTTTCACATAAAACGCAGGGCTTTTTTTTTTTTTACACAGAACAGAAATTACATGTGACATTTCATGGCATTTCAGAAACAGGGTTTGAATCCACCCTTGCAGTGCCAATAGATCCACTGCTGTAAACGGCTTTTTAAGCAGCAGTCAAAGTGAAGTTTCGCCCTCTCAATAGGAAATGCAGTTGATGAATAAACGTTACTTTCTATACATTAGGGGGTCTGATTTCCTCTCAGTCACGAAGACAGACAATTTATCGACCAGACACCCTGTAGAAAAAATGTCTGCATTTTTGTTAGTCAGCAACAGACTCAAACACCCAAGTAAGAGTGTTTCAAAGGAGAGTGCAATTATTGCCCTGGCTCATAAACTCATTTAGACCAGACGTCTAGCCATCTATATGGCTTTATTGGACCACGTTTCTTCCTGCTTTAAAGCAATTATATGTACAGGTTGGACAATAAATTGGAAATCCGTGCAACACCTCTCCCAATCATAAATTCTTTATTACTAGTCTCTTTAAACAATGTTCATTCTCCTACTTTTCAATTGAAATCCAACCACCTTGTATGCCAAATTCAAACTAGGAAAACAATTCTGAAATGGTAGTTCACCACACCAAGTGGCACCTTTAGATGTTTCATTCTGCTGACCTTAAAAAAAGACAACCAAATGTCCAATCATTCAATCTCTAGGCTCATACAGATTCATCAAAATAAATGTATTTAAGTGAAAGAAACTTTCTCATTAATCCTACGTCTTCCCTCATCACCCCATCTCATTACGTTTGCAATTGGGCGTTATTAGTCCTCCCTCTCAATTCTTACAAACTAATGCATTGATGCGATGGGGCCTACACTACCCTATAGCTTTATATTAAGAGTAGGCTAATACACGTTGTTGAATTGGTGTTCACAGCGTCAGGAATAACTATATACAGCAATGCATCTCAAATATATATATATATATATATATATATATATATATATAAATTTTCAAATACAACGTAGCTAGGCTAATAACAAGCATGTCTATACAGGGACAACCACAGCAAAACCACTGAGCAGAAGAGCTGATGTAAGAAAAACTTAATGGTTAAATACAGCCGGAATTGTAAAAATGCAGGAATATTAGCCTATGTAACGATTAAGGCTACGCCCTATATCTTGTTTATTTTCAAAACTAGCAACCTCAGAAAAAACACGATGAAAATATCATAAATACTCAAAAACATGACCCTTTAGTTTTAAGTTCTAGTCCTAGTTGGACAAACATAATCAGTCGGCCTCTACCTTGTTAGTAAGTTAAATAATTTCCAATTTGCGTGATGATTCTTTCACTGAAATATAAGCATAAATGCAACGTCTGAAAACATTTGATTTTTCTAAAAGGCTACATGACTATGAAAACTATATACGCAAGCATATTCCCTGGTCTCATATTAGGCATAAATACTCGAGCTCTGGTTAATCAATAAAGTAATTCATTTAAGACTGAAAATTTACTTTGATTAAAACAAAAAAGAAAGAAAGCATATTTCCGGGCATGCTGAGTCAACCTTTCCATTTGATATGTCAACACAAAAATGCATAGCCTAAGCTCCAACTAAAGTTTTATTCTAAGTAATCACAACAATATGATACATCAAAAGGGCGAGGGACTACATCCAATCTAGTTATAAGTGATCCTTACTGCCCCTCTCTCTGTTCATTTTTTTCATTTTCATTCTTCTGTTCTGGAACCAGATTTTGACCTGCCTTTCAGTTAAATTGAGAATTCGAGCAACTTCGTATCGTCGATCTCGTGTCAAATACATGTTGAAGAGGAATTCTTTTTCCAGTTCTAGTGTCTGATATTTTGTGTATGGACATCGCTTCTTCCTTGTTGAACGTGCATGAATCCAGTTTGCTGCAGGGTTGTCTGGAGAAGAGAGAGGACAAAGTTGAAACTCACATGAGAATTAGCAGGAAAACGAAATAAACAGAAACTAGGAACATGGAAAATACAAGCATCGGAATTTAATTAATTACTGTATACTTGTACAAAATACTGAATTTGTGGATGGAATTATTATCTCACTTTTGTGTTAAATACCCACTTTACAGCCGTGGGTAGTTTTTTTCGGCCCGTGGTTATGAGCTAGACACTTTTATGGGTTAGTAAAACCTCCAGTTTTACACACCCAGCTCCTACAGTTCTTAAGGTTGTAAATCAGGGGGCAATTCCGTTTACTTACTTGGGTCAAGTTGTTGTTGTTGTTTCTCTTCTTTAGGCTCGCTGTGACTCGACATATCACTGCCAACGCTCTCTTTGGTTACTTTTCCCGGGCATTCGGATACTCCACATGCGTAATCAGGGCCAGGGGCGACCACCGGAGTCTCTGTCTCAAAAGTGGCACTCTCAGTCCTTTTCAGTGGTAAACTTTCGGGCTTGGTTCCATTTGTTCCATAATGCCGACTGTTAGAGTGAAAGCTGGAGAAAGAAACGTTAGAAATGGGGTCTATCCAGGACCGAACATATCTGCTGTCTGCTGCGGAGAGATGGGACTGGTGGACGTAAGGATGGTAAATCCCTGACACTGCGGCAGTGGACTGCGGGTGAACCGAGGACCAAGACCCTGGGAAAACGGCTGACTTGGGTGCAAAACTGCAGGAGGAAAAATCTGCATTGTCCCCAACACCTGATGGCCTTGAGGTCGTAGTGTGCGGACCCTGGACAAAGCGCGCCCCGTACACATCCTCCACTTCATGCCCCATTATAGAGTCCACATAATAGTTACTTAGAGTGCTACTGGTCGACATATTTGGATCCCTTCGTAGTCATATAAAAGGTTACACTGTTACGGAAACCTTCCCTCTGAACAATCATAGTATTTTTGCTGGCTTCATCTTCAGGGATTGGTTACATGAATCACGTGATCATATTTACCAATACAGTGAGTAAATCAGTCCGCTGGTAACGGTAGGCCTAAATTTAATTTGGCTATTTATTCAAGAGTGCTAATAAAACCGAATGTTTAAGGAGAACAAATGCAAAACTTTAAGAAATTCTGTGTTTCTGGGCATTTTGAATGTGCATACGGTTGAGGGTGGTGCCGGACTATTTTTTTTTTACGTCAACAGATTAATACACACATTTATTTCACAACCACCACTCAACATTGATGCCATAGCATATTATGCATGTAAACTCTTACAAGATATCGTCATAAGGTATGTCATACACTCAATGCTTGTAAAACATTTTATAGACTTCTGAGTTGTAAGTCCTCGTAAAATAAATGTAATAACATGCTGTAAAATAACGAGACACCATTTCCGCACCGACTCTGTTTTGGAATTGTTCGTTTTTATTCAATGAGGAGTCACTTTCACTAGTTTGGTTGGTCTTGTAAGTTTGAATCAGGAAGTATTATTTGTATACTAATTGTATTTATCTAGAGGAGAGGCATAGGCCTAATGTTTTTATGATCAATAAAATCTTTATGAGGTGCGTTTGATTATACATTAATGTGCCCTTAATAAAACGGACTCATGGCGCAACAAAGTGGATCTGTGAAGTGATGTCAAAAAAATCTAGATTTAAGAGGGCCTTTTTAGGTTTTCTTACTTTTGAGAACACATGACTTCTTGATTAGGCTATTAGTTGACCACTCACTACAAGAGCATTGGAAGTAGCCTACTTTTGCAAACTCACATCAAGACACAAGTCAGCAATGAATAGGCCTAGAAATGTAAATAAAATCCATAAACCGATTTATTTTAAATACATGGTCAGGATGGAGCAAAAACAAGGAGAAAGAAGGAACAGCACAACACGGCGGTGAGCTGCCAATGAATTTGTGCTTGAACATCATTAGGTCCATACACGCTATAGGGACCCGCTTCGTCAGCGTTAGCTCGAGAGACATAGCATAGTATAGGTCTTGTTATAAGACATTATAAGGGTTCGTATATGTTTATAACAAGTTATAGAGCACTAGTCTATACCTGGATGCTTTAATTAAAGTGTTACCAAACGAATGATGCGGCCAAGGCCATTGATAAATAAAATCATACAATCGTTGTTGTTGTTGTTGTTGGTGGTGGTGTTGTGTGTGTGTGTTTCAGCCTTCATTCGTCTGGACATCAGCGGGTGATGCGTGCGTAAAAGAGAGGCAGAGGAAAGCGGAAAATAGGAGTGCCGAGTTCAAATAGTCTACACAGATAAAGAGCTATAAACTTGGGTTGGACTGTACACTGTGGCTGAAGACAAGTCTACTACGGGGCAAACCAGCATGCTATTATGAGCCTACAAAACAAAACAAATCATCTCATGACGTTTAACTACATCAACATAAGCAACACTTTGAATCATGACAGAATGTTGCGCCAGTATTTTATTTAAATTATTATTGTTTTAACCAGAAGTAAACATTATTGTAGGCTATATATATGATCAGAGCCTTATATTTAGGTGGTATGGAGGCATAACTGTTTTGATCAATAAAGGCAATTTAAATAGGCTATTGTTATAGGCCTATCCCTCTACACGCTTAGAATAAATTGTTCTATATAGAACCTTTTTTGGAACCCTAATTAACCCGTTTTCTAAGAGTGTAGCTCCTTTATAGTAGCCTATATCCGGACGCCAATGGCTGTTTTTGTAGGTTGATTAGGAACCTTCCCAGATCCGTGTAAATATCATAACATGTTAGCTACATAGCTATATAGGGCATGATTGGATATGAGTCTTATTTTTGTGTTTTTGAATAGAAGTACAAGTGTGTATTTTGTGTATTTGAATACGTTTTACAGTCCACGAACGCCAATTGGATACCTTATTCACAATAAAAAGCTAAAATAACTTAACTTTATAGGCTAACATTTATTTTTCATTACAGTCAAGTTGCTGAAAGCTAATTGACAATAGTCCTAATCATTAATTCATGATAAATACAATAATTTTAAAATGATTCAATAGATAATAACTTTAGAACTATAAACTAATTTGAAAATAGCCGGGCGAATTATGTTGAGTGCAGCCTAATGCTAAAATTGAGATGCTTCTGAAATTCATATTGCGACCCTGCACATACGTCTAAAGATAAAAATACTAATATCGTTATTAGACTTGTTTTTCTTTTACTTTGATTCAAGCACGATAACAATTTGAAGCTACGGACCAGTTCCTATTAATTTTAACGTAACTGAAAGGACGTTAGGTCCTATAGCCTACACATTCCAGAAATAGTGCTCTAGTTTCTTTAATTTATTTTTTACACATCTGCCTTGGCCTACTACAAAACAAAACACTGAAATAAGAAATTACGTTTGACAATCAATTTATTGCATGATACATGCCACAAACATGCATAAGATTTACACTCATTAACATTGCTCACCACATTTATAATACAGAAACGTTTATAAGATTACTTACGATTCAGCAAAGGGTTTGCGCTTAACTCTGAACGAATGTTTATCTATTCAACCACTATAAATAAATGTGCTTTCATGTCCGAAAAAAATGATATTACAAACAAGTCACTGTGACATCTTCCTTAGACTCAATCAAACCAAACAGTCCAATAATGAATACCTTCTATATTTTAATAATTTAAGACCTAGCCTACTGTACCCTGTGATGAAACATTCAAAATACACAATGCGTCACCATGTAAATAAGAACATGTAAATAAGACAAAAATAGCAATTACAGTCACAGTTTCATTGAAAAAAAAAAACAAAAAAACAAGTCCAATGCTGCCACAGCACTACTTTGAAGAGAGAGGAAAGGGACAATAAAACAAGCATTTGTAAGCATGCTCACGAAAAGGTGAGATTTGAGGTAAGTTCCCGAATTCGGTTTTCCCTGCTCATTTTCTTGAGCTTCATCCTGCGGTTTTGGAACCAGATCTTGACTTGCCTGTCGGTGAGGTTGACGCCTTTACTGATCTCTAGACGGCGCTCTCGAGTCAGGTACATGTTGAATAAAAACTCCTTTTCCAATTCCAGCGTCTGGTGCTTTGTGTAGGGGCATCTTTTCTTCCTTCCACTTTTTGCAGTCAACCAATTGCTCGTTGGAAGGTCAGTTTTGCTGTCTGAAATGGAATCAAACCAACAAATGTTTTAACATGGCAAAATATGAAACTATCACAAATATGTTTTCACTAGTCACCCAGCTCTGGTCAGAATGATAGAATGCTTCAATTATATTGATATAGTTTTAGCCTATATGAGTATTATTGGTTGGTAGTCGTAATCTGCTACTCTCGTTTGGATCAAGTGTTGGAATATTGCAGGCTGTAGGCTATAACTAACAACACCTGCTCTAAATTACAAGACTAAGCTTTTAGACCAAAGTAATATTTGACATGCATATTAGGCATACTGATGAAATCAACTAAAATACGCATTTGTTTGAGCCTAGAGTATTTCTGTATTATAATTTCGGAGGAAATTGATAATCACAACACTGAGGATGAAGATCCATAACAGACTACCAGCCTTATGTCTACTAGATGTTGATAATATGGATTACACTTAAATAAATCAATAAATAACATTTTCCCAAAGATAAAACGGAATGTTCCGTTAGGCTACAATCAACAAAGAAAAACATTAATTAAGAAAGCCTAAATATAGAAGAGAACAGACCTCAATGCGAACATGTGCGGGTCGAACAGTTTCCTGTAGCGTTTTACTGCAACCTGAGTAAGGCTCTCATTAAACATTACGACTTTAGGGCTGTTTGTGTTTTATATTGGCTTTTATGATGCTGGACCGTTCATATTACACCATGACACGATTCATCCTTTTATTGTACCTACCTTTCGCTTCCTTCTGTGGCAACTCTGGGCTGGAGACTGAAGCTTCAGTGGAGCAATTATTCTCCTCCTGCGCGCTCGACTTTGGATCCGGGCTTTCCGCGGGGATGGGAGTCCTGCTGATCTCCTGGTTATGCGGTATATCAGCCGTTTTCTTTTCCACTTCGACAAAGGAAGACAACTGCGGTTTGGGAGTAACTCTGTTGAGCTGCATCAATGTGGTGTTTGGACTCGTTATCTCGTGGCCATAGTCCTGGTGTTTCCCACTCGCGTAAGTTTGGCTTAGTCTGAAATAGCCCGGAACAGGGATCTCGGGGCCATCAACTGAACAAGATTCGGGGATTATATTAGAATATACTGGGACATCGGACGAGTTGATCTTTGCTATCTTGTCTGAATACATGCAGTAATTACTCTCCTCCTTAATGTTTTGTGAAAATGTGCAATTGGGCATCTGGTTGGATGGTTGCTCTATTCTGCAAGATCTATTCGGATCTGTCCAGTTATCAATTTGAGGTATGTAAGAGTGGACATTCATGCCCATATTTTGGTGGTTGACGTCCCCTCGTTTACCGAGAGACGGCAGGAGTCCACAGGTTTGCATTCCATAAGTTCCCATTTCTGCACCGGACGGCATGTACATGTTGCTGCTGGAGTAAAAGCTGTCTGTTCTGCAAGCGCCAATCAACGAATCAACTAAAAAAGTATTCGCAGCAGGAGAGCTGTTGGGAAAGGACATTTTGGAGAAGTTTTAAAAAGGAGAGAGATGTCCTTTGTAGGCTGACATATCTAGCACAAAAATCTCCGTGTTGCTCAGGATGCCTCTCTACCACATGACAAGCTCACCAATGAAATTTGAAAATGGCCTTGAGACGCAGCTTCTTTTCCCATCACATGGACGAATTGACTCATGACTGGGAGGCAGACGTGGTCAACAGCGACACCTAGAACACGGACTTGAAATTGATTCCAAGACTGACAAAGGACATCTTGAACATTTAGCCTGTTGTCTTTGCTTGGCATGAAACAAAATCAAAGCTGATGTGCATGGTCTTAACCTGAAAATAATTTACAGTTGCATCAAGCTCCAATGCCCTTACCTTGACACCTTTAAAAACCCTTCACACAATTTAAGTTCACGACTGATAGGTAATCTACTCACTTTTATAGGCTATAGAACCACTAAAGCCAATGCTTTGACATTAACTAAAATAATCACGGTGTAGTGATCGAAATCTAAGCCTAACTGAAAAGAATAATACATTTACAGGAGGTAATTAAACAATTACAACCTAAATTAAAACCAAATATGGCTATTATAGGCCTATATCTTTTTTTTGTAATTGGATTCTTAATTAAACAGCGTCTGGCTTAAGTAGGATATTATTCTCTAAAAATAAAAATACAAGGAAAGCCTACACATAGGTGATATCGATTAACCGGTTCTAATTTTTCAAAACAATTTTAATAACCTTTGAATGCCTGCTCAGGGTATGACGCAGTTAGTTTCTTTGTGACCTATATGACGGACTGGGAAACTAAGGCATTTGTGACCTATATGACGGACTGGGAAACTAAGGCATTTAATAATAATAAACTACAGCGCTAAACACACGCCTATTCTCAATTCAGCATCTCACATCGGTTTAACAGGTCTACGTTTTCAAATAGGTAGACTATGTGGATTTTTTACCCAGAGAAATAATAATGAATTGACAAACCAACAAGCATACAAAAACAGATGATTTGCTGAAAAAGACTACTAATTTTATTAAGAGCATGTAATTAATTAAACGCTGAATAGGCCTACCTAAATGAGCCAAGTTTGTGCACGTAGATTACTAAACAAAATAACGATGGGAGGAAAATATCAGACTATAGCCTATATCTAATATGCTATATATTTATATGTAGCCTATGTATATTTGTTACATGATGTTTCTTTCAATTTAAGCATCGATTTTTATAAATGAACCTATAATAGCCTACATACCTGTTATTTAACCCAAAAACATGCACATGTAGGGATGGCATAGTTTTTTTTTTCAACAATGAGAGCGTAAGCGCACATCCAAGGACATCCAACAACAGCATATCCCTACATCTGAAACTTAACCTTCAAGGTTGTAGGCCAAAACAATGCTTCAGGTCAACACTAATACGAAGATAATTCAAATAAACATTTGAGAAATCTAACGTATAAGCTCGACTGAAAGAACAGGGAGAAAGATGACAATATAAGGAATTAATTCGTTTTTACGATATATAGGTGTAGGCTACTTCAATACATGTCTAAATGGACAATAGCCTAAAATAGAATTTGCTCTCCAAAATATTTCTAAAGTTATAAAAGGCCTATACGGATATACATGCCAAATGGTCAATTACGCAAAAAATGCAGACATACAATATGCGTCTATTAAACGAAGAAAATGAAAACCTCACGTTTTAGGACACGTTACGAATTCACCAGTGTGCAATGTGTTGTTTTTAACTTCAGGAATACAACATCAAAACCATCCAGGTGTTCTGGCGGTGATTATAGTGTATTTAACAATTAAGCAAATAATTATGTGAAATGCTTGAGCAAATAATTCAGTAAAATGCAAACCCATGGTCTATTCAACATTTTAGGTTTAGACATCCCATTTTAAAACATTTTACCCTATCAGGGAACATCGGTTGAAATTATTAGACAACATATTTATTAGACAAGGCCTAATTGTCGTCCAAATCAAAATACCTAGTTTAATGCATCGGTAATGCACACGACAATTTAAGTCTAACCAGGGTTGATTGAGGAATCCAGATAGGTCATGGCCTTATTCCATAATTTATCAACAATTATTTCATTACTTTAGGGTTTGATTGGAATGGAAATTAAGTTTAACACAGTAATATTTCAAGTCATGTCCAATATATACCAGGGTTAAGCTGGATTTGGTGTCTTCTATAGGCCTATGATACACAAATCCACATATTTAAAGCTACTGTTTAATCCACTTTAAAATGGTGGCGTTAGGAACAGTGATGGTGCCCCTTTGATTGCAATGCATGGAATGCATGAACGAAACAAAGTCTGTTTGCTTATATTTTTTAAATAAGCTATTTTCCAACGTTTACCTGAAGGAAGCAAAGTCAAAAAAGAAAGTCAGATCACCGAACGTATGGTACATTCTCTCATCAAACCACAAACAAGAACATTACCAGCCTTTCAATAATATTCCAGACCACAGCTGTAATTCAACCTATGTGTGTTTTCATGAACAAACTCGGACCGAAACTTGCTACACGTCTGCCCTCGTGTGGTTAGAATAGGAACGAGCAGTCACCATGTCTGCACAACGTTTTTTCCCAACTAGGCCTATTTCTTGAACCAAAACCCCAATAAAACATGCCAATCAAAAGACTGACTGATATGTGTGTGTTTGTGACTGATTTCCTACAGCTAGGAATACAATTTGAATGATCAGATACACTAACATGTCCAACATGTCATGCCTATTAGACCTCCTAGGCTTACATTTTTCAGCGAAAAGAAAATCAATGCCCAATGCTAAAAGTGAAAAAGCATTGGTCACAGAAATATTTAGGCTTATTTAGGATGACACATGGTTGACTGGTTCACTATTAGTACACTGCAGTGCACTGCCTTGCTTTGTTAAATTCTAATACACGAGGGACCTATCCGTGGATTCGAATTAAACCATTGATTATGACAAATATTTTTGGTTTCAATGTTGTTAATTAAGCTAAACTATATTATACTCTTGTAAGACTGTAAAAGTCGTGCGTAATGCTACCACATCAGAAGATTGCGCATGATTTTATGAATATTGCATTAGGCAAAATGTAATGCAACATCTTAATCGGTTAATATATAGAAGACAGGTATCGACTTCAAACAAGAATTTGTATCCCTGTATCTGCTTGCTTTTCATACAGGAAAACTCAGTGCTTCGGAGCCATATTGGAATCCTGCTGCAATGCAGATATCATTCAGAAGGTGTCGTTTCTCAAGAGATCAGCCAAAAGGCGCCTATAGCCTACTTATTCAAAAAGGTGAGAGGTGACGACATTGACGTTATACGGGAAATTCAAAGGGAGGAAAGAACATTTGTTAATTCAATTAACAATAGGCTATTTGATACTAATCATTGAAAAAATTACAATAAATACACCACTTTTTTTTTAAGGAGCCAAATCAAATCATAGGCCTTGTACGTATGGGTTTTCTTCGCTTTTACGGTCTTGCCAATTTAAGTTAAATATGAAAAATATATACAATAAAGGCCTATATAAAGATATAGATCATTTTGGTCATACACATTTAGCTTTCCTTTAAACTCAATGGCTTGACAAGTAAACAGTAGCCTACTGCATTCTTCTCGACTATTTTGTGGTAGGGCCGCATTTGGAGTGGCCAGAGGGTCCAATAGCCCCCAATTTAGACATTTACAGCTAGTTTTTAGTATACTGTCTAGACGGTTCAAGGTTTAGCAAACCGCCTAAGTGTAAGACAAAATAAAGGGAAGAAAAGGTCTAGTCTAAATGTTGAAGTTGAAGCGAGTAAGAGGCGCTACTGGATGGCTACAATAACAGGATATTAGCTGTATAGTCCTGTGGCCTACTGATATAACTACTAGTGTCAGTGCAATTGGTAATTTACAAATATATCAATATCCAATATCAGATTGCTTTGACAAGAGCATCCCTATAGAAGAGTATTTTATGAAATTATGCCAAACTTTTTTTCTATGCCAAATGTTGATCCTGAGCTATACAAAATTAGTTCCTTGTGATTGCAATTATTTGAGGTAACGCATAACTACATTTGCCACGTGTACTTTATTTTGATACCACATAACCACAATATACATCACATGCGTCTACTAAATGCATACACAATTCTACTATTATAAATTACTTATTGTAGCCTACTTGATTGATTACTCTACGCAAAGTACGCGTTGCTTACTGCAATATTTTCGAATCCATCAAACGCCACCATGTAAACTTAAATAAATAAAAAAGACATACATAGCCTAGAGATTATAATTAATTAGCATAATGATATACAAATTGACATTATGACGAGGTCTCCTGGATGATTTCTTCACTGGTTTGAATCTTATTTTAAATAACAGGATTCATGTGTTCATTGAGGTAAGTATTTAAGTGGCAGATGCCAAGAGCCTTGCATAGATAGATCCAGCCTGTTTGCAATGTTCAGTATGCTGTGCGGTGTTTCACCTTCTGTTGTTTTGATAGATTATGAGATGCCGCCCCCCCCCCCCCCCCCCCCCCCCCCAAAACTCTTTATTCAATCTGTTGTGAAGCATTTAGCAACTATTGACTCCAAATGCAAAAGATCAGAATAAGGGATTCCCAGTGAAATACTGAAGCCGGTCCCGGTTGAGCTTTTTCTCTTTCATTCTTCTGTTCTGGAACCAAATCTTCACCTGTCGATCTGTCAGGTTTAACATCCTTGACAACTGGAGCCGCTTCTCCTTGTTTATGTACACATTGAAAAAGAATTCTCGTTCAAGTTCTCGGATCTGGTATTTGGAGTAGGGGCATCTCTTTTTTCTGGACTTTGAAGAACCTAAACAAAGACAAACACTTGATTTACTACAAATATGTAGTACAATGTAGTTCAGATCAAAGTTGGTTCAATGCTAGTCATTAAAGAACATATAATTAACAAGTTAGCCGAGTAAAAAGATCATCTTCCAGCATGCATCCACAAACACACAGGCAAACACACAAGCAGATATGCTCGTGAGCGCGCGCGCGCGCACACACACACACACATTTTCTTTGAGTCCATGTCTATCCTACACGGCTATTCTCGAAGTTATAGGTAAAACATTATTATACAGCCGAAGAAAACCCCTTCACATAGCCTAGGCTTATTGCCTATGTAGGCTATCCTCTATCTCAAATATTACAGCATTGCCTACCTCCCTGTTTATATCATTATTTTATTACTTTGTAAATTCATTGTCATAAACAAATAGGCCTAATAAACATGCTTGCATTGTAATTTACACCATGCAAGCGAATCAGAGAACTTTAATTAATTCAGAAAAACACAACACATCAGAAATATTGCAGTATAGCTCACCTAAACTGCTTTCCCATCGTAAATATTTTTACAACAGTCAAGTAAATCTTATTGGGGTATATAAAACCTTTGCATGCTTATAAAGGGGCACATAAAATCGGACCGACAAAGTAGTGGACTTACTATAACCCCATTTAATGCTTGTACCTACTTGGGCCGTTGTTCTTGTCCACAGCGCAGTTTGATATCGAAGAATCATCTTCGTCTATGTCCTCAGTTGGGTCTCGTTTAGACTCCTCAGATGTAGGCCTATCTGAAGTCTGTTTATTACATGCAGCATCTCCGGGGAGACTGGAGTGTGTCTTTTGTTTTGAGTCGTCAGGGTTGGGCTTCTCAGAGTTAACAGTCTCTAAGAACTGGTCGAACCCTTGTGGAAGAACCCCATTTCGGCCGACATTGGTGAAGAAATTGCATGGCGAACTCGTACCGCCGTGATGGCCGTACAAGGAATCATTTTTGAATATCATTTCCGCCCTGTTCGACGACTGGATTAAGTCTCGGTGCATTATCTCGTCCGTTGAGTAGTAAGAAGCGTAATTGCCCCTGTAATGCCATTTGTTTGGGTGATCGAGTCCATAGTCCCTGAAAGCCACTTCTCGAACAGGTTGGACTTGAGCTATGTTGGAAGAATAAGGAAAATTTATTTGACACGAAGTAGTCTGGGGTAAAAACGAGGAGACTGAAGAAAAATCAGGCGCCGAAACGTAATATGTACAACTCGGTAAATACATATTTGACGCACAGTTGCCACGCTCATCGTACTCCGCCATCTCTCCCTTCACACTATTGCTATAGCGAAATAGAATTGGCAGCTCGAGTGTGTTAAACTTTGTCTATCTATTGCACCATAGGCGCGTGGAAAGGACCCGCGATGGAGAAAAAATCGGAAACGTAGGCTGACGTGCAATTCATCTTTATCGATTCTTGAGGTAATTGTGTCATGTGATCCGGTTAAGGAATTACCATATATCAATATCAGTCATTAAGAACTGTCTAGAGCAACTCATGTGAGCGCACACGACAGTTCATTGGTTGCCTGGGTTCAGAAGCAACTCCTATGTAGATCTGCTCTCGCCCTCGCGAAATAGACATTACTAAACAATCCCTGAGATATTTCATCAATGGGTTACTGCAATAGAATTCGAGTTATAGAATGGCAAACCCACAACTTTGTATGTATGCCATGCATGCCCTATATGTGCGCACTATTATGAAAGTATGCCATTTATGCATCATGGTAGTGGAATATATATATATATATTAAGAAATACTTGTTACACTGGCAACATTGTAGTTGACCTCCCCTTGGAGTCCAAGTTAAAGGGCACAGAATGTTCCCTCATGCACGGTCTATTTCGTATCCAAATCTATACTCACAAGTTTAACATTAGCCTGTAATTACGCACAAGTTACGCGCGTAATAACTTGGACGGATAGATACAACAAAAGTACATTTTTAACGCTCGTGCCTCAACAATACAAACGAATGCACAAAATGCACCAAAACATTAGTCTTCACAAGACTAATCTCAAATTCTATTTCATTATCCACATAGGCTACCAAAAGCAGAGAAAAGGTGAAAGGTAGAAAATAAAAACATGAAAAGAACGAAAACAAGAAAGAGAGACATATAAAGACCAAAGTTAATTATAAAGAAGGATTAGGACTATGTGGGGGAAATAGTTAGACTTTTCTGATTTTAGTATCAACTACATTTTGACTCACTTCCATTATATTTCCAGGCCCTATATTGTCTCTGAGCATTCATATTTTTTGTATTTTCCGATTTCAGAAACATATCCAGGCCTGACAAAGGGATACATGGAAATTCTTTACCTGGTTGTTCGCCCCAAATCCATAAGCCTTAATTTTCCTCTTACATATGTAATTAGTGGTTCTTCGGATAAGATCTTCCAAAATATAAATAAAAAATAGAAGCGTCATCAGCATGATTGGCTGCAGGAAGGCTTTGCACTGCCAAGTACAAAACATCTCTGCTGGCTTTGACCGTCTGCGGTCTGAGACGATGTGCACCAAGCAATCACCAATAACGTCGGCACTCAAATCATTTTATTGCACAGACAAAAGGAAGTGTTCTAGTTTAAGTGTATCTTGTAGCTGTTGGAGGAAAAAACACTTTGGTAGGTGGCGATTACTTTGTGCTTTAGACATTTTGAAACCGTAGCCTGAGCTAGGTCTAGCCTACTTTCAACAGTATTCTAGAAGATAGGCCTACAGGAGTTTAATTTTGAAGTTACAACATTTTTCACTTTAGAAATACATAGGCCTATTAAATAATACAAAAGAACGTGAAAAGGAAGTAAACGGTATAGCATTCAACATAGCAAATCCCTAACTAATTAGATCTATAATTGTGGGCCCAATGTCCCATTTTCCATTATATCAATAGTATTACTGCACGGATAAAAATCTACACACAAAAAATCTACATTTCTTTCGACAGGCCCAGGTTATTTTGTAGTTGAACAGTAACACAATACTGAATTATTATTATTATTTTTATTATTATTATTATTTTTTTTGGGGGGGGGCGCTAAAAGTAACAAGTTATATTTTAGCCCCTCAAACACACACGAAAAGAATAGTAGGCTATAGCATAATTAATCCTGTGTGTAACCCTGAGAACAATAATAACACATGATGTTTGAGCGTTGCTATTTGGACTGACAAACTTGGCCCAAATGCAAATGTTTTTGTAATGACATGTTTTCCCCTCAGTCTCCCCGAAATGCGTTTAGCCCGTGTTATTTTTCTATATAGTGTACTACAATGAAATATCCCCAATCTTAGCTACATAATGAATGTGAAAAAACACTTGATTATATTATCATTATTTCTATTAACCTTGCAGTGAAAAAGAAACCTTGAAACACACGAGTTAATACAATGTTAAAAAGTCATTACGCACAAATAATTCCCCAAAACTAGGAGCTACACAATAAGCATAGGGTAAATTAGAGAATGCTGCACATGCTACCCATGTACTAACTATATCAAAATAACATTATCTAGTCCTATACTACCAAAAGTAGCATAATGCAAAATAAATACATTTGGCAATGAACACAGGTTGGTTGACAACGCAACGATGAGTAACCTGCAAAACAGTCCTTGTGGACAAAATGGGCGATTTGGGCCTTGTTTTCACACCCGTCTCATGCGGATGTGTCATCAAATAGATTCCTTCTTGCAAATACCACGTCTCTAAAGCACACAAAAATAAAAATAATTGGATTGTTGTTGTTTCATGCAAAAATGAGTTTGTGTGCGTATTTTGCAATGGAAGATTACACACTAACTTGACCTTAACTTTGTTTTGGCGCCCTCATATCTTGAGAGCATGAGCAGACGTGATCTGGCAGAGTTCTCATAAAAATACCTTGCTGGACAAAAAAGCCACACCATTCCCCTTTGATCGCTTTAAGACAATGGGATTGTAAACTAGCAAATATAATTTCAGAGTCATGAGGTAAATAACGGAACATTAACAACACATGTTTAGCTATTGGCCATTCTGAAGCATTTCAAGCGCTTGTGTGCTAGCTAGCTTTTTTCTAACCATTAGGCCAATAGCCTCCTGCCTCCCTGATAGCCAACCATAGATGACAATATATCCAGTGGTGTAAAATACTTAAGTAAAAATACTTTAAAGTACTACTTAAGTAGTTTTTGTGGGTATCTTTACTTTACTATTCATATTTTTGACAACTTTTACTCCACTACATTCCTAAAGAAAATAATGTACGTTTCACTCCATACATTTTCCCTGACACCCAAAAGTACTCCTTACATTTTGAATGCTTAGCAGGATCTGATATGGCAGACTCTAAACACAAATGCTTCATTTGTAAATTATGTCTGAGTTTTGGAGTGTGCCCCTGGCTATCCATAAATGAGAAAAACAAGCAAATCGTTCCATCTGGTTTCCTTAATATAAAGAATTTGAAATTATTTATACTTTTACTTTTGATACTTAAGTATATTTTAGCAATTACATTTACTTTTTATACTTAAGTAGGCTATATTTAAAACCAAAACAGCCTACTTTTAGACTTTTACTCAAGTAGTATTTTACTGGGTGACTCTTTCTTTTACTTGAGTAATTTTTATTAAGGTATCTTTATGACAAATGGGTACTTTTTCCACCACTGAATATATCCTACAAACTACTCCCTAGAAAACCCCATAACCATTTCTAAATTTAACAATTAATGCATTCATGTAAGGTAGACTATTAAATGGAATATTTACAAGCAAACAAAACGGTAAAGATCATAGGCTAAAGAGTGAGAGCGAGCATATTCAGTAAGTAGTAAATTCCTGTAGTTTTCTTTTTTGGAATAGCCTAGCCTATTTGTGTTGATGTGCCGCTTGATCAAATATATAATACAAACATATAATCGTAGCAGTAGGAACTGCGTTATACTAAGTGGAATCCACATAGTCCTAACTATGCAGTAAATGATAGCCTACGTGTACGTGCTGGACAGATATGATGAAATAGTACCACAAGTGTTATAGTGGCATGTTGAGCAATTCATGTAGCCTCAACTGTCTACACAAATGTACACATTTACATGCATGTACATGTACACAAGACACCTAGTCATCATGGAATTGTATGAATTGATGTAAAATATTAAACTTTTCGAAATAAGGATAAACTGATATGTTTCAGTAAACTGTTGTAATTATTCATAAACTGGACCCCCAATGCAGTTATAGGCCTATAGAGAATGCTATAGCCACCCAAGCGCTAACCTTTAAATGCAGCAGAAAATGGAGGATGCATTATGCACCATTATGCAAACTCAAACACACACACACACACAAAATAAGACAAAAACAAATGTATTGTGTTGAATTAGATAGCCATGCAATAGACATGCAAGCAATAAAAAAATACGAAATACAAAACACATTTCATGGTTCATTCTTCCACCGACAAAACACGAACTTGAGCTTGGACGAGCAATTCTGAAGGCCTAGTTGTAGGACTGACCACAGATATGAGCAATCTACATTTCTAACCATATCATCATTGTGTATTTCGTCAATACAATAAGCCTACATAACTTATACATGTATTAAGATTAAATTATAAATAACATTCATGTTGATAGCCCAGAAATAAAGAAAAGTAACGCTTGCATAGCCTACCTATATTAAAAACAATCATACATTGACATTGTCATACCTTATTATACGCTCAGAAATAGTGTATGGGTCATTGATTAAAATCATTAGGCCTAGATGTATCCTATTTACCTAAATCGCATGCTTAACAAACAATCAAAACACATGTTCAATACGTGACTTTCTGAAAATAAATAATACTTTCTTCATCACCAACTAACTAATAATACAAGGCCAAAAGTAACAACAATTCACAATCTCAGTTGTTTGTATAACCATCCAAAATGTACAATAAATCGTTCTTAAAAATAAAATAAAATGATAGTCCTATCACTATATTGCCAAGATGAGCGGCTTAGGACAGAGGTTTGAAGTGGCTGCGCTTGTCTGAACGGAAGCCACACGAGATCATTATCAAGACCCAAGGCTCTCAGTACATGGAAAATGCATGCTCACGCATCATCAGCCTCTTCTTTTTCATTCTGCGGTTCTGAAACCATATTTTGACTTGTTGATCACTCAAGTCCAGTCTTTCAGAGAGTTCCTTCCTTTTTTGCCTGTTTATGAACTCGTTCATCATATATTCGTTCTCAAGTTCAGCAAGCTGTGGCTTTGTGTATGGTTTTCTCTTCTTTCTCGGTTTCACTTGTGAAGAGCACCAGGGTGCACCTGGAAAAAGAAAAAATACAGTCCTTAGCAACTTGTGGATACACTTGTGGATCTCCTACACTTTGTAAAAAAACTAAATGATATGCTCGAGAATGCAGAAGCATGCAGGCATGGTCTGCAATTATCATTGCTTAAACATCAAATATAACAAAACAAGAACTATGATTTGGAGCGGAAATAAATACTCTCGACATACAGATCAGAAAACGTTAGATGTTGCTTACCATGAGAAAAAGACGCTCTGGCACATGCATTACTTGAAGATGGTTGAACTGTGGCATTTGAATTGGCCGACTGCTTGAAGCCGGCAGCACTTGCCTGGTTGGTGAGATTCAGTTCGTGTTGTGCATCGGAATTATGTGACAGTCTGTCCAAGTTCGAAAATGCATATTTCGAGCTACCGAAACTGATAACGCCATGTTCACCAGAAAAGGCCTGCGCGTGTCTAGCAGGTTCTTCTGGCTTGTGGTTTACATCCTGAAAGTAGTATTTATTGGACTCGTCAAGTGGTCCCTTGTTGTGGTTGTTGGGATTAGTATTTACATGCACTGAATTGGATAGAAACGGCGGAGAGTAGCCACTAAAGGCGCGGCTCTGAGGCGGAGATGTGCACGAACTTGGGGAAGTCCACGGGAGCGAGCACACCTCTCGCCTGTTGTAGGAAATCTGATGCAGCCCGGAGAGATGAGCTCCATTGCCCCGCAGGTTGGAAAAATATAACGACTCCGGGGTAGGAAAATTCAACAGAGAACCAACATAGCCAGAATTCAGAAGATTTCGCTCACACATTTCCATGGAGCTCTCTCAAACGCTTCTTACAACCCTTTTTAGCGACTCCTAATGAATAAAGGGAAGGTAATTGTTGATTTGCTCATACAATGTCACGTGATATGCAGAACATGTTGTTCAGTCCCACCCTTGGCCTTAATACTGCAAGGCTAGATATTCCATAAGGTAATGTTATGCAAGAGTAAAATAAAAAATACATAGCCTATGTGAGAAATACAAATGGGAATTTTATTCTCGTAGAGAAATTATATACCATATAGTCAAATGGAAAGGTGTTGGTTAGATGGATCTATCAAAATCAAAGAGACCATTTTCAATGCCATTATATTATTATAAGGTTTTGTTGCTAGTTTGCTAAATTACATTGTTATTATTGAAAAACAATAGGCTATATGTTCAATGCAAGACAATGTAATTTACGCAAAACATGCTCACGTTAAGAGATAATATAGCTAGTTAGGCTGGTCTATGTGAAGTTACTAAGATTTAGCTAAAATTATAAGGCAGCAGTGTAAAAAAACATTTCGATAAAATAACCAAGATTAACATAGGCCTATGGGTGGTTTGCTGTGAAGGCTATTCCTAAAGCAAACTATACGGCTCATAAGTCATTGACGATTGACAGACGGGTATGGTTGGTACAAGCCCAATAACCATCACCATATTATAGGCTATGCAGTATTATTTTGCATACAATTTCAAAGCAATAATACTAATCCTACTAACGAACGATTCTTCCCCTATTCACAATTCATGGATATAGCCCTACACATACCTCAAACAACAAAAAATAGTTTTCTGATTCGAGAAATTGTGAATCCCCACTACAGTTTAGTAACAATTTAGTATATAGAAAAATAACACTGAAAAATAGGCCTGCAGTGTTCAAACAAAACGGTAGCCTCGCATAGGCCTACCTTTAAATGAATTGCTTCCGAGAAGACCACAGTATGATAACGAACGAATTACTATATTGGAAATAATAATACATAGCCTACTATACTCTTATTTAGCCTAACCTTTGTGCCATCTGAAAAATACAAATCATTTTTGGGCCTATAGGCTATGATTCATGTTTTATAAATGAAAATTTACATGAACGGATTTTTTTGTTCACACTTTTAAATAGTAGGCTATTATCTCTTGACAAATAGGCTACAGTAAAGACATTTCCCCTTTTGATACTTTTAATTAGCAACCCTGGTTATACATATATAAGCAGCTGGATTAGACTAGCCTACATAAATATATATTTTTTATCAATTTCACAAGATAAATTACTAGCTTCCTGATTCCTATAATACCGATATAGCATAGCATGCTCTCAACAGTTTTTTCATACTGGCCCTTGACACATATCTAGATAATTCATCTTACCTAGGCTAATACTTCTCCTTGAGTTTTCCCAGCAAATCTAGTCAGTCAGGATCCTCGGACTCTAGAAATGATAATTGTAAACCCTCCGTCTCCGGAAAGAAAGGCGACAGCTTGGCCTCCCATCTTTTACGAGTCTAGTAAATTTAAGAATACCCTAAAACGGCATTCTTTTGAGCCACTCATACATAGAAAACTAACGACCAAAATATGTTTTATGCATATTGCAAAAGCCAACGTTTTACCAAAAGCGTTTAATATTGGTATAGTTCAAGGTCAATGTCCACAGAGCTCAGATTAAGTAAAAACAAGTCCAAGTGCATGTTTGGTGTGGTTTCTTGGCAGAGGCGATTGTTCGCTTATTAAAACAAAGAATCGCCTCTGATGGCCTTTCTTGAAAGATAATGCATACAACTTTTGATGTGGGTGGATCACTCGTAAGATAATAGCCAACAGCACTAAAACTTAAGCTCAGACGTGTGTTTTAATGAACTCTTGTCGTTGGGTGGGTGGGTAAATGTTGTGCTCACATCAAATGGTAGGTTTTTATATTTTCATACAAAATGTCCCCAAACTGATTATGATTTTTCAGCATACAGAATAGAACGATTTTCAATCAACTTTGATAATTTAATTCGCAATAAAAATGCATTTCAATTCTGTTATTTTTTTAAAGAAAGTCCCTATCGTGGAGAAATTGCGTGCTGAAACCAGTAGATGGCGAAACAAGTCCATGAAACGTTGCAATATTATCATTAATGTGAGTGAGATCATAGTCTCTAAATGTATTTATAATAGGTCAGAATGAAAACGTATATAAAATGGTCATCAACAATGATCAGGAAAATGTTTTTATTGATTGATAGATTAGATTGATATAGACCTTAACATGAACAGTAGCCTACCTATAATTACTCGAAAACTATAGGCCTTCCTTATTGACAAACACCCGCAGTTATAGTGGAATTATGGAATTGGGTCCATCGCGATGGCCTACATACCGATATGACTTTCTCTTAGACCCTATGTGGTAGCCTATGTGTAATTAGTAAGACCTGATTGTAAAACATCTGCTAATTCTGCGTCGTGGAAATGTCTCCTTTGAGTTGAATGTTTGCTTTATATCCGTTAGACAACATTCTCGTCTACAAATAAAACATCACTTTATATTTGAGATTCTATTCTCAAATAGGGGCCTAATCGCACAACCTTAAGTAGGCCTACTTGCACGTATATGGTATGTCTATAGGCCTATAGGACTGCATGCCCTCACAGCCACATTGCTAAAAATATGAATGTTGTAATACCATATATATGAGAAGCACAATTCATGTTTAAGAACGGACTTGATACGTCTTAGAAATATGAAGAAAAAAACAATGATTGTCTGAACAATTGTATTTTATTGACCCAATCATACCTAATTCACCATTTGCTTTGGCAAACATATATGTTACCTTATCAACACAAATTTGCGTAATTGTAGGCCTAAATGTGTGGCCACGTTTTCGAATAGGCGTTGACATTGAAACAAATGTGTCCATAAGGGAGATTCACCAGAGAATGCTTTTTAGTCCAGGCCTAGGCTTAATCTTTGTCTGGGGAAACCGACCACAAATGTAGACCAATCTTCAAAATAAATCTAAGTGATATGCATATGTGATGTGATATGCATATACACTTGGAATTTGACCTACATAACCCAACCAAGGCCTATAAATTCAACAACAAAGTTTAAATAAAGAGCAGGAAAAATATATATTTTTTAAATTGCACAAATACAATTTCAGCATCAGAATATATGACAGCTACACAATAGACAGCAGCTCAATCTGTCAGTTAGCACACATTTTAACACACGAATATAAATATTTACCAAAATATTGTGAGACTAATACCTGAGACAATTCAACATTTCATAAACGGTGAAATGAAAAAATCAAGAGGAAGTTTCAAGGTCTCTATCTTTTGATATAAGCTTCTTGTCTTTGACACGACGATTTTGAAACCATATTGTTACTTGTCTCTCAGACAAGTTGGTGGAAGAAGCTATCCGTTGTCTTTTCTCCTTGGTAATAAACTTGCCAATGGTGTACTCTCGTTCAAGGTCCTTGAGCTGTAGTTTCGTGTAGGGCACCCGTTTCTTCCTCCCACGTCGGTGTAAAGTGCTGACATCTGGCTGGTTCATTACTGCTTCCTCTACACACGTATGGCACAAGAAGAAAGTTCATGTTTCGAGAAGAGGAAAACAATTTTGCCATGATATTACCACTAAACGTAATTTACAGTTAATAGTGTGGTCTTTATGTGTAGGACGTTTTCTGACACACAAAAAAACATAGTTACATCAAAAGTCACAATATTTGTTTAGCAGTTTTTTTTCTCAGGCTAATGCATAGACTGTGTTTATTATTCTTCTGGAATCATCGGGTGGGCTAAACTGAACAAGTCAATTAAAAACAGACTAAGCATCAAGTGGGTGAAATAATAGTTAATAGAAAAGGTTACAGAAGATATAACCTACCTGTGAGGGATGACTTCCAGAATTGCGAGCCCTGGGTCTGTTCTCTGGCATAATACAGCGGATTGCTCCAACTATTAGCCCAGTTCAATTGCTGATAGTCCTCATGCCTCGGATCTCCAGGACCAGCCCTTGTTACAACAGGTACATCAATGTATCCAGGGATTCTTGGGTAAGGACCCGTGTAGCCTTGGTAAACATTACCAAAGTCTTTCAGTCTGGACTGCATTTCACTGCAGTGTATGTTGGAACTTGAAAACCCTGAGAAATGCATTGGTTTATCTGTGGAGTGTCCAGATAGAGACGCCTGAGAAGTTGGTTTCATCACACCCTGTTGGAATAGACGGCTGTCAGGGATGGTGCAACCATAACAACTGCTCCCCAAATGACAGCCAAAGGTGAGTGATCCATTTGTGGCTACTGTAGAAAGAGGTGAATATGGTTTAAGAGATTCTAAGCCAAGAGAGTTTGGTTTGTCCGAAATGGTGTATACCGTTACTCCTGGTACAGACCGGCTTGGGTGAGTCCCGGGAGCAGAGGAATAAAAACTTCTGCGATGGACAGAAGGGAAATTATCTCCCAAGCCCTCCATTTCAGTTTGACGAACTGCCAACGCAACTTCTCTCCATGAAAACCTCACATAGTCCCCTCAGATCCAGAACGTATTGCTTTGCAGTGCATGAATGCAAACCAAGGATGAAGACAAATAACCCTTTCGTTTTTTTTTGCCTGACTGATTACAGAACTGTGACAACTAAATGTGGTTGGTCGGTTGCTTTCACGTGACATGCAAATATATATGGCTAATGGATCATCTGAGCGCTAGGCTATTGTGGTTTTGTTTTTGGCGAGAATGTTTGTAAAATATAGGAGAATGTAAAATATATAACAGCCTAGGATTCCAAAACGATCGATGAAACAAAAAAACGGCAAGACATTTGAATATCAAATAGGCTATGCTTATAGCGTCAAAAAGTGTCTTCGTAACAATGGTTTTGTATTGTTAACAAATGTTACAATAGCCTATTTTTTTTTGTATCAATGTCAGCTTTTATTTAACTGAATATATAGGCCTACAATTCCACTTATAATGTTATCGTTGCCAACTCCTGACTTCGGCTAGATGTTTCCCCACGGGTGAACCAATTCAATCATTTTCACGGATGAAATAAAGCCTAAATTGAACAAAAGAACAAAACCAGAACATAAAAAAATATACGTTATTGTCTGACAATGTATGTCTGTATAAATATGCCCACTTGTTAAACGTGCAGGGAGGCATCTACATTTGAAAACTGTTGCAGGCTTTGTATCGACTTCCTCAGTTATTGTAGAAATGTTTATATCAACCTATTTGCATGTAATTATAATGAGAAACGTCACTATGGTATATTCAACATAATTCCATAATTTAGCAATATAGGCCTTAACACCTTTTTAACTTCGTGTTAAAAAATAATGAATGATTGTTGGGACAAACTTTAGCCTACAATTATCACATATAGGTCTACACATTTATACCACTAATAATATATGTTTAAAGTGGCTATTGGATATCGTTTTTTTTTCGTTTTTACCTACTCCACAAACCATGGTGCCAACATTTGATTGAAATAGGAGTCCAACAAGAATATGACTCTACCACTCTTCTATAAATAGGCCTATATTCAAATATTTTAGTCCTAAAATCATGTCGTTTCAAATAATTATTGAATCCTTATACAAACCTTGACATCCATGTCACTACATAATGAATAATCAGCATATAATTTAAATTAAGTCTTAGAATTGAATTTCAGTAGAAACCAGTAGCCTAGGCCTAAGTCTGCTCAAGGTTACACCAAATATTTATAGTCAATATCAGTAAAGACACACAACTGATTCAAAAGCCTATAGACAAAATAGCACAACATGGAAACACTATTGCACTTGAACATCACTCTTGAACTTGCTGTCTGCACGTAACAATGTAGGCCTAATGGTAGACATTCCCCCCCAGGTAATGCCTGTGGACACACAAAGTTGCATTTTTCAAATAAAGTACACTCTTAGAAAAACGGTTATTTGGGGTTTTATATAGAATCGTATGGTTATTTTGACGAGATTAAAGAACCCTTTACTAAAAAAGGTTATATATATTAACCTGAAGGCAAAAAAGCTTGAGGGTTCTATCCCTACCCCAGAGTGTAATGTGGATTTTAGCCAACAACAGCTAACAAAAGCTAACACAGTCATGTCAAACTCCGAAAGGACAGCTAACTAGCTGCCTTTTCACTTGTTTTGGCTTTTTTGCATTGACAGGTATATCCATATTGATGATGCTGCTGCATGATTTCGCCTGGTCAGAAAAAAGGCTAGCTGTCTCGGCCCGACACCTGCAGGGGGAGATCGAAATCATATTTTGCAACAATGTTGCCGAGGTCAAAGTGGCAAACAGCAAGGTTCATACAAACCTCTGCTGTTGCAAACTAAATGCTACCTAGACGCAAGAGGATATAATGCGTTTAATAAAAGTATACACTCTTAGATAAAGAAGGAGTTCTATATAGGCATCAACTGCCATTCCAGCATGAAGACACAAGAGCAAGGTGGTTGCAAATACCCTACCAATAAACACGTTATTTTTCAATGAATTAAGTTAGGCAAAGTTGATTATTTAATTGAAACATATTAAGCCATAATCATATGATGATCTAAAGGTTAGATAGATAAGGTTATTTCAGAATCCGCTAATGCTAGACAGGAAAAAGTTTATGGGATATGCTACTTTAATTAGCCACTTTAGAAGATAGCTAGCTAACTAACTATTACAAATAAATGTACATGTTTGTTATTGAATATGCCAAATAGAGCTATAGACTACAGCCTGACATTGGCAATTAGCTAATTGTTACTTTATTTCAGTATTTCAGTGTTGAGTCAGATGAGGGGACTTTGTTTCATGAAGGCATTAGAATACTGTTGCTGACCTCTGTTGAATGCACATGGTGGGCAGTGGGCTGACTGAAAGAAGGTATGGAGCTATCTAAATTATTTATAATAAATTATTTATAATAAGTCTTGGTGATTCAATAGCCTAGTTAATCATTAGCCTACATTACTTTTGAAATACTATCTATGTTTTGCTGTCTGGCAGTAACCCAACTACCAGAGGTAGATTATCTCTCTTTCGGCTGCTGCTGACAACAACTGCATTTAAATTGTTCTTCTACATAATAATAAATATACAATATCTGCGTAGCATTTTGCCTTAATTTTAGCAGATTAACTCATGATTATTGGGGTCACTTGCTGGGGGCAACAGAGGTGTCATGCCCATAGGGGGCACAGGGACACTTGCCCCCAGCAAAATTAGCCTACAGATAGGCTATTATTTATATGTGTATTTCACACTATGTTGAAGTAAAAATCGGAGTATAATGCTTGTATGGATGTCAGTCCCAATACACGTTCATGTCTTTTAGAAAGGGAAACCCAGCCGCTAGCTGCCCAGTGACGCAAGCTAAATGCCTTCTATGCTCGCTTCGAGGCAAGCAACACTGACCCATGCATGAGAGAACCAGCTGTTCCAGACGTCTGTGTGATCACGCTCTCCGTAGCCGATGCAAGTAAGATTTTTAAAAAGGTTAACATTCACAAGGTCACAAGGCCAGACGAATTACCAGAACACGTACTCAGATTATGCACTGACCAGCTGGCAAGTGTCTTCACTGATATTTTCAACCTCTCCCTGACCCAGTCTGTAATACCTACATGTTTCAAGCAGACCACCATAGTCCCTGTGCCCAAGAAAGCCAAGGTAACCTCTCTAAATTACTATTGCCCCGTAGCCATGAAATGCTTTGAAAGGCTGGTCATGGCTCACATCAACACCATCATCCTAGACACCCTGGACCCACTCCAATTCATATACTGCCCCAACAGATACACAGATGACGCTATCTCTATTGCACTCCACACTACCTTTTCCCACCTGAACAAAAGGAACACTTACATGAGAATGCTATTCATTGACTACAGCTCAGCGTTCAACACCATAGTGCCTTCCAAACTCATCACCAAGCTAAGGACCCTGGGATTAAATAGCTCCCTCTGCAACTGGATCCTGGACTTCCTTACGGGCCACCCCCAGGTGGTGAGGGCAGGCAATAACACATCCGCCATGCTGACCCTCAACACGATTAGACAGCCTACAGGGAGGAGGTCAGAGACCTGGCAGTGTAGTATCAGGACAACAACCTCTTCCTCAACGTTAGCAAGACAAAGGAGCTGATTGTGGATTACAGGAAACGGAGGGCCAAGCACGCCTCCATTCACATCAACTGGGCTGTAGTGGAGCGGGTTGAGAGCATCAAGTTCCCTGTGTCCACATCACACAGTCATGAAGAGGGCACGACAAAGCATATTCCCCCTCAGGAGGCTGAAAAGATTTGGCATGGGCCCTCAGATCCTCAATACGTTATACAGCTGCACCATTGAGAGCATCTTGACTGGCTGCATCACCGCTTGATATGGCAACTAATTGGTATCCAACCGCAAGGCACTACAGAGGGTAGTGTGTACGGCCCAGTACATCACTGGGGCCAAGTTCCCTGCCATCCAGGACCTCGATACCAGGCGGTGTCAGAGGAAGGCCCTAAAAATTGTCAATGACTCCAGCCACCCAAGTCATAGACTGTTCTTTCTGCTACCGCACGGCAAGCGGTGCCGGAGCGCCAAGTCTGGGACCAAAAGGCTCCTGAACAGCTTCTACCACCAAGCCATAAGACTGCTGAACAGTTCATCAAATGGCTACCCAGACTATTTGCATTGACCCCTTTATTTATTTTGCACAGACTCTGCACTGGTTTGCACTGGTTCTATGCAGACTCACTGGACTCTACCTGCACACTCACACATACTACACTGACACTCCAACACACACACACACACACACTCACACACACACTTTCACACTCTTTCACACTCTTCAAACACACTGCTGCTACTCTGTTTATTATCTATCCTGATTGCCTAGTCACTTTTGCCCCTACCTACATGTACATATTATCTCAATCACCTCAACTACCTCATACCCCAGCACATTGACTCGGTACACGTACTCCTTGTACATAGCCTCGTTATTGTTATTTTATAGTGTTTCTATTTCGTTTTTTTTTTGTGTACATTTTCTTAGTCTTTAACTCTGCATTGTTGGGAAAGGGCTCATAAGTAAGCATTCCACAGTAAAGTCTACACCTATTGTATTCGGTGCATGTGGTAAATTACAATTGATTTGATTTGATGTCATCATCGCTAATTAACTGCATTAGTGTTAAAAACGACTGACTACCACCACCGATTTCTGTAGGCGTGTATTCATGGATGCCAAGGGAAGCCAGGCTTCCCCCAAAAATTGACCAATAAAAAAAACATATATATCTTTCGTCTCTCTGTGTTTCATAATTTTCCTTCAATTCGCAAGAGGCTGAATGTATCTCACAGGAGAAAGCATCCGAGCCAGCGAAACAGCGCCCCTCTGTCTCTGTATGTGTAGGCCATCTATCTGATGCTGTCTGGTCCAAACGAGTATGACATTGTTGCCGTTAGTAG